AAACTGGGTAACTGGTAGGTTTCACCTTGTAACTGGAAATGGGGAATCATCATCAAGCAGATGTGTTTCCACTGGGGTCCTGCAGGGGTCAGTTCTTGGCCCTTCGCTATTTAACATCTTTATCAATGACCTGGAGAAAACATAAAATCATTATTTATAAAGTTGGCAGATGACACAAGAATTGGGAGAGTGGTAAATACTGAAGAGGACAGCTCACTGATTCAGAGTGATCTGGATCGCTTGGTAAATTGGGTGCAAGCAAGCAATAGATGTTTTATTATGGCCAAATGTCAATGTATACCTCTAGGAACAAAGAACGCAGGCCGTACTTGCAGGATGGGGGACTCTATCCTGAGAAGCAGTGACTCTGAAACAGATTTGGGGGTGATGGTGGCTAATCAGCTAAACAGGAGCTCCCAGGGTGATGCTGTGACCAAAAGAGCTAATGCGACCCTGGGATGCACAGGAATCTCAAGTAGGAGCAGAGAAGTTATTTTACCTGTTTGGCACTGGTGTGACCACTGCTGGAAGGCCGGGTCCATTTCTGGTGCCCACAGTTCAAGGAGGAGGTTGATAAAGTGGAGAAGGTTCAGAGAAGAGCCACGAGAATGATTAAAGGATTAGAAAACCTGCCTTCTAGTGATAAACTCCAGGAGCTTAATCTATTTAGCATAACGAACAGAATGCGAAGGGGTGACTTGATCACAGTCTATAAGTATCTACATGGGGAACAAATATTTAATAATGGGCTCTTCAGTCTAGCAGAGGAAGGTCTAACACGAGCCAATGGCTGGAAGCTGAAGCTAGACAAATTCAGACTGGAAACAAGGTGTAAATTGTTAACAGGAAGGGTAATTAACCATTGGAACAATTTACCAAGGGCCGTGGGGGATTCTCCATCACTGACGATTTTTAAATCAAAACAGGGCGTGTTTTCTAACAGCTCTGCTCTAGGAATGGTTCTGGGGAAGTTCTCTGGCCTGTGTCATACAGGAGGTCAGGAGTCCCTTCTGCCCTTAGAATCTATGAATCTATGAGCCAGACCAGATGCCTGGGACAGCGCCAACCCAGAAAGTAGCAATAAGGCAGAAGCACGGCCCAGATCCTCTTGGCCTTACTCATGCAAGTAGCTTCCTTGAATCCATGGATGGGCGGCCACGGGAGATGGAAGAGACTTGCCCAAGGCCACCCAGTGAGCCAGTGCCAGGATGAGAACTCAGGTCCTGACTCCTAGGCCCGTGCTCCAATCCCTAGGAGACATTGCTTCCCCAAGGAGATCTGCTCCCCAGCTTGTCTCGGTCCCTGTTTCCTGTGATTCTGAGTGGCTCAGGGCCCGATCTTCCCGTCACAGGGAGTTTTGCTTAAGAAAGGACTGCAGAATTGGATCCCAAGGAGCTCTGGTCTGTCTGTAGGAGTTTTCTCTGCTTTTCCAAGTCTCCTCCCTCTCCCTTATCTCTATAGCATAGTAATGTGCCCTAATGCAATATATTTCGTCGGTTGCCATGGAATCCTGCGTGAGGTCACCAGATAGAATTAATTCCCCCCTCCTAAGGGAAGGGTAATTAACAAAAAATGATGATAACCAGAACCCACTCCCCGCTTTGCCCTTAATTCCCTTGGAATATTAGAGATGGGCAGACAGATTCACACAGACCCGCCTTCCACGGGGTGGGGGGGAGGCTGCTGGAGTCTTGTGAGTCTGGCTCCTTGCATTAGCCTGCCTGCTGCCAGGATTTCGCCTTCTCTCCCAGAGGTGCCACACCTGCACCCACCGCTCTCAGGGCCCAGCGTGGCACTGCAGTGATAGGGATCTGATCCAGTTGGAGTCTTTCCATTGACTTCAATGCGCTTTGGCTCAGATTGGAGGTGCCCGTCTTCAGCTGCCTGGCTGCTTTCACGTCCTCTGAGCAGGTGCCCGCAGGTAGCCATGTGGGGGCGAGGGGAGTTGGACGTGCTGGCTGAAGCACTGAGGCAGCTGAGTCACTCGAAAACCTGTGGTATTGCAGCTAGCACAGGAGCCTGGGCAGGCAGGACTCCTGGGTTCTATTTCTGCCTCTTCCACCTACTCTAAGTGTATAAGCTGGAGCAAGTTGTGTCACCTCCTTCTCCCCATGCCACAAAATGGGTTTAACAACCCCCACCCTCCGGACAGTGGGGTCAGGACTATGAGACATGGAGAGAGCTGCTGGGGGACTTCTGGGGACAGGGCAGCAGGTAGGACTGCAGAGCACAGTGCAGAGATGGTGACCGGCAGGCACTAAACCCAGCCCCTGGGGAGATGAACCAGCCCCTCAGGGTCAGGCAGATTGGGCAGCGCTGTGGATGGAGAGCCGTGGTGATAAAGTGGAGCAGATACCACAGGGACAGGCGCTGTATAAAAACAGATGGAAATCATGAGCACACTGCACCGACCCGGCCTGTCTCCTGAGCTCCATCCCGCAGTGCGGTGCTTGGCATGTAGAAACTGCCCCAGAGCCCCTGCTCCCCACATTATGGGATAGGAGACACAGACCTTGCTGGCAGGACAGTTGTAAGGTGTGCTGTGGGTTTGATTCAATTCGGTGCTGAGGGCTGGGGCCCCCTCCTTCCTTCCCACTGACCCCCGGGGAACAGAGGATGATTAGCTCCTTGTGCCATCCAGCTCTGCACATGTGGACATGCCAGAGCAGCCTTGCTCATCGGATGTCCTAAACTGCTGCAAGGACAAACTGCTCCATGATCCTGCAGCAACCGGACCTGGGCATAGGGCCCCTCAGGCTTCTGGTTGGACATTCCCTCCAAACTTTCCCAAACCCACGGGAGCTGGGACCTCACTACAGAGCCTCTGCAGGGTCATCGCTGTGACTAAGAGGGCCAGACACTGGAGGGGGGGGGGCAGACCATGGGGAGGCTCCAAGTCATTGTCTGTCCATGTGAAGTGAACAGGCTTGCTCCGAGTTATCTTGTCTGGGTTTGGAGCAGGCTTGGCTCACCACAACCCAGCCTCGCAATGAGTCAGGGGCAGAGCCGAGAGGCAATTTCCTCCAATAGGCGTTTGCTCTTGAGATGTTTGCAGACTTCCAGTGGGCCAGCTGAGCCTCAGCTCTCACGGCCTTCGCTTTCTGTTCCTGGGTTGGGCCTCTGCCTTCCCCTCAGCACCCACGGGCAGCTCTGCTTCTCCTCAGCACCCACGGGTGTCTCTGCTTCTCCTCAGCACCCACGGGTGTCTCTGCTTCTCCTTACTGCCCACGGGCAGCTCTGCTTCTCCTCAGCATCCATGGGTGTCTCTGCTTCTCACTGCCCACAGGTGTATCTGCTTCTCACTGCCCACGGGGGTGTCTGCTTCTCCTTAGCACCCACAGATTGCTTCACTTTTCCTCACTGCCCACAGGTATCTCTGCTCCTCCTTAGCACCCATGGGTGTCTCTGCTTCTCCTCAGCACTGTCAGGCAGCTCTGCTTCTCCTCAGTAGCCACGGGTGGCTCTGCCTTCCCCTCAGCACCCACGGGCAGCTTTGCTTCTCAGCACCCACAGATTCACTTCTCACTGCCCACAGGTGGCTCCGCTTCTCCTCAGCATTGGTTGGTGGCTTGGCTTCTCCTCAGCCCACGCAGGAGGCTCCTCTTCCCCTCAGTGTCCACAGGCAGCTCTACCTCTCCGGAGCACCTATGGGCAGCTCTGCTTTCCCTCAGCACCCACGCGGCTTCCCCTTCCTGTCCACCGAGTCCGGCTTTTCTTTATACAGTCCTGAGCTAGCCCTAGTGACAAGGCCTAGGTATTTCTCTGTGTGCAGCCTGAGCAGGCACTTCCCACCCCATCACATATTTGCCACCCTAACTCTGATGCTCCCCTTTCCTCAGCCCCCTCAACAGCATCTCTACTCCCAGCCAAGGGCACAGAAATTCCAAACCCTGCTCTTTACGGGGGTGCCTGCTTCAAACCCTGTTTGCCAGGACATCCTGGTAAAGGCGTTGTGAGATCCGGGGGTGCAGCCCCGAGCAGGGCACTGGGGTCAGGACTCCATCCCGGACTCGGACACACTGTGCTGCCCCATTAGAAAAGCCACTTAATAGCTTTGTGACTCAGTTTCCCCCTGTGTACACTGGGGATAATGATACGCCCTGCCTCACAGGGCTATTGAGTGCTTTGAGATCTTGCTTTGAGACCGCACAGTCAGGGTGCTGCTTTTGAACTCAGGGAATGGAGCGAGCAGCTATTGAGCTGTGGCCCAAGAAGGGATCTGGAAGAAGGCTTTTTCCTGGCTGCCTTCTGTGGCTCTGGGAGTGGCCGGCCCACGCGATGCCCGATCCCTAGCTGCGCCCCCCACTCATACGTGGAGCGAAAGCCTTGGAACCGCTGGGGGAGCCGGGCCCCAGGTGGCTCGACGGAGCGGGGCTCAGGGTTGGCTCCTCGCTTCCTCCCGAGCACATCCTACTGGGGAGCACAGTGCCCTGGACAGGGGGTGGTAGGGGCGCCCGTGGGGCCAGGCGATGGGGCAGGGGGCCGCCCCTGGGTGCAGCAGACCCTTTGCAAGCCGGCCGTGCGCTTTGCGCTCCGGCTGCCCGTGGGAACGCAGGCGATCCAGGGCAGGCACCGCGGAGGGGTGTCGGGAGGGGCCGTGTGTGAGGCGAAGCCACCTCTCGCCTTTGTGGGGGGGGGGGCGAGGCGGGGCGCTGGCTCCTCCTGGGCTCTTTAGGGAACCTGCCCGCATCGCCCCCACCCCAGCCAGCCCTGCGCACACCCGGGCGCGCAGCCTCCCCTCCCCTAGCGCTGGAAATAGAAGCCGGCCCTGCCCCCCTCCCCTCCCCTCGCTGGCTGAGCATCGCAGGCAGGCGGCGGAGGGGGAGGGCCCTTTTTGCGGGCCCGGACCTTCCGCCGGGTCTCAGTCTGCCGGCGGTGCGGCGCAGCGCGGAGGGGCTGCAGCGGAGCGCGCTGGGCTGGGCTGGGCACCCCCCGTGGTCTCACCGCCTCTCTCTCTCTCTTCTCTCCCCGCTCCGTGCCCCTCTCTTCCCCCCACCCAGCAGCCGGCGTGTTAAATGGTTTCAGCGCAGGCGGGATGCTTGGCACCAACCTCAAAAGCCTGGAGCTCAGCGGCGAGGGGCCGGAGGAGCTGAAGGGCTACCGGAAGGGGGCCGAGGGCAAGGGCGGCGGCATGATGCCCAAGCGGCCCAAAGCGCCCGGGGCGCACGAGCTGCGGGTCTTCAAGTCGGGCAGCGTGGAGAGCCGGCTGCCGCCCGGCCCCAGCCTGCGCAAGCAGAAGTCCCTCACCAACCTGGCCTTCCTCACCGACGCCGAGAAGAAGATGCAGCTCTACGAGCCCCGCTGGAGCGACGACATGGCCAAGGCGGCCAAGGGCGGCGGGCGCGGGGGACTGAAAGCCAAGGAAGCCCCGCTCATGTCCAAGAGCCTCTCCAAGTCGGAGCACTCCCTCTTCCAAGCCAGGCTCTCCCCCGGCCTGGCCAAGCCGCCACTGGCCCCGCTCCCGTCCAGCCTCGGCAAGCCCAGCCGCATCCCCCGCGGGCCCTACGCCGAGGTGAAGCCCCTGAGCAAGGCGCCCGAGGCCGGCGGGGCGGAGGACAGCAAATCCGACGACGAGATCCTCTCCAGCAAAGCCAAGGGCCGGGAGAAGCCGCAGCAGCAGCCGGCGCCGGCGCCCGGCCCAGCGGGGAAAGGGCAGGACGAGCGAGCCTACCTGAAGGTGGATCCGGAGCTCGTGGTGACGGTGCTGGGGGACTTGGAGCAGCTGCTCTTCAGCCAGATGCTGGGTGAGTCCTGTCCCCGCGCCCCCCACCCGTTACCGCCGGCGAGTTCAACTCCGGAGCGGGATCCGCTGAGCCAGGAGGGAATGAATGAATAGGGCCGGGGAATGAATAGGGCCCTGGAATCCAGGGGCCCGCGGTTGAAAGCGATGGCGAGTTTGGGGAGAACCTCCTCTGCCCTTTGGGGGCTTGGTGTCGGCGTTTGGGTCCCGTTGAGGCTGCGATCAAAGGGACTGGCGGAGAGTAAGGAGTGAACAGTGCCCAGTCCCGGAGGAGCCACTCGTCTCCTCCTGGGTTTCTCCTTCCCCTCTTCCTTTATTCTGCAAGGCGCTGGCACACTGAGGCTCTTTACGTGGCTTTTCCCCCCTGGGTATTTGTCAGTGTTTCGTTGAGATTCTGCCTTAAAAAAGCTCCCCCGCCCCCCCAGCACACACACACTTTGTCTCCGGAGAACAATGCTTGCTTTGGCCAAGCGAGCCTTTCCTAGCCCGAGAGAAACCCCCTGGCTTGGCGGGGCCGTGCGAGCTGGAACAGGGAGCGGGGGACGGCGCCAGGGAGGAGAGAGCAAACGCCCCCCCCCCGCCCCCAGGAACAGAAATGTGGGGGGTAGAAAAGCGGCGCTTTCCTGGGCGTCCTTGTGATTGTCTTGGCTGGTAGAACTGACAAGGGGAAGGGAGAGCTGTGAGATACAGCCATCAGCCTGGGCGTGCGCGTGTGTAAGGGTGTGCATGTCAGGATTATCTCAGCCGTGTCATTGACACGGGGAAGGGATAGGTGTGAGGTGTCAGACATCAGCCAGGGACCACAAGACGGGCTGGTGTGTGTGTGGGGGGGAGTGATGTGCATGCCATGATATGACTGACATGGGGAAGAAGACGGGCTGGTGTGTGTGTATGTGTGTGTGTGTGCATCTGTGTCAGGGCGTGTGTGTGTGTGGGGGGGGGAGCTGGAATGTGACACTCAAGAGGAAAATGGATGACAGATTGTGCCTAGCATCCTAGGGAGAGGCAGCTGCAAACGAACCAACTTTCGTATTTGCAGCTGTGATGATCGCAGCTGTGAAAGGGCAGATCTCTGGGGGGGCGTGGGTCCACAGGCAGAGGGGAGGCACCGGCAGCGCCGAACATGGGCTGTCTGAGGTGACATTCATGCAGTAAATACAGCGGTGCCCTGAAATGTTGCGTGCTGTTGACCACTGGCTCTGCGGAATGGTTGTATGTTTCATGGGGGGGGGGGGGGGGGGGGATGCGCGTGCTCTTAGCAGTGCTGCTGAGTGCCCGTAGCAGGCAGACATGGAGTGATCTGTGGGAGAAGGGGGAGTGGCCGCTTACCAGGGTCTGTTCCAGTCCCCGTCGAGTCTCTTGTTTGTGGTACAGCTGCAATACAAGCGTGAGAAGCAGGCTACTGGGCCGAAAGATGCACTGATGCCTCCTGTTAAGAGACAGAGAGTCATTTGATGAAGGGACACCCGGTATCAGCTCTGCTCTGACCATCGCCTCCGTTACTATGGCCATCCTCCTCCCCCCCGTGGTATTACTAGGGACATCTGTCTGACAACAGCAGTGTTCATGCTCCGGCACAGCTCTGCTGCAGTTCTAGCCCCCGTCTGGAGTCCTGGACTCTCTGTAACCCTTCCACAAATGGGCGCTTCGGGGGGGGGCACCGACCAACGGGTGTGATCTGAGCTGGGGAATAAGCAGCAGCAGCTGATCTGCTCTAAGCACAGAAAAGCCTGTTTCTATGCAACTGCCCCCCATGATCAAACACACACACCGGAAAACAGCTGATAATTGGCCGGAGCGGTGTGTGGGATAGTGCTGCCGGCAAGGACGCTTTGGAGAACAAGGTGGGAGGGGCAGACTGGGTGAGCTTTTGCTTCTGGAGGTTTGGGCTAGCAGCCGGCTGTGGGTGATATGGACATGAGCTTCACAGCCTTCATCTGTTACACTGCAGACATGTATTTGTCCACATCACACAAATTACCACACCCTGGAGTTTGATTGGCAGCCACTGCTCAGGGCTGGAATGGGGGGTGGGGGCAGTGGGTCAGAACTGAGGGGCATTGGCAGAGCTCGGGGTGGGTCCAGCACTGAAATAGCAGGAGGGTCTGCAGAGCGGGCCTGGAGTGCATTGGCACAGCTGCAGAGGGGGAGCCCAGGACTGGAATAGCAGGGGAGGAGACTAGAGATTTGGTCGATGTGAGGTGCCTGGCAAAGCTGGCGAGGCAGAGGATGGAAATAGCAGGAGGTTCTGCACTTCAGGAGCAAGATGAATCTGCAAAGCTGCACAGCGGAAAGTTGCACAGCGTCTGGCTGTTCTTTTCCCAGCTCGAAGGAGCAGCCAAGCCCCGGCTTTCAAGTGCTTACGATATTCACACACATTTCACAAAGGATGAAATATTAAAGGACTGGGGCCTTGGCGGGGCTCAGCATGGGCTGGGGAAGGGGTGGGAGGCTCCATCGCTGGCTTGGGTTTCAAGGCTAAACACGCAGAATATCCCATTTCCTTGCAGCCCTGGAAAGCTTTCCACGTCCCGTCTTGGCTGAGAATCCGCCCACTCCCAGTACAAGAGGGGAGTGTAAATCCTAACGCTAGAAGGTTTGTCAGACACACAGGCCTAGACCCAAATGAAAGGAAAAGGCAGCCGCGAAACCCGATCCCCTTCCCCTCCTCACTGGGAGCCCCCTGCCCCGCTCAGCTGGGCCGCAGATGCTCTGCCAATACCACGCCCCAGATCCCAGTCACCTTGCAAAAGGCAGGATTAGAGACTGGCTCTGGAAAAAATATTATCGGCCCCCATGTGTGTAGTTTCCTGGCACACTTGCAGGAGTTACCTGAACACGTGCTAGAGGCAAAGTGGGTCTGGGCATGGTAAAGGCACTATCCAGCCTTGGAGCAGGGAGAGAAGGTCATGGGATATCTACCAGTGACACCCTGGAGGAAAGACTGGGCCAAATCTGCAGCTGTTGTAGCTCATTGCAGCTCCATTGGCTTCAATTGACTTCCACCAGTGGGGGTTCAGGCCTGTGATTTATGTATTGTACTATGTCTGCGCATGGATTTCCTTCCAGCCCAGTGCATCCTTCTCCAGACGTAACAGTGCCTTAGCACTTTGTCTCCAAGGAGCCCAAAGAACGTCGCGGCTATTAAAGAATTAAACTTCCCAACCCCTGTGAGACAAGCAAGTGTCCCCATTGTGCAGAGGGGGAAACTGAGGCACAGAGTGGTCGCATTCCTTGTCCCAGGCCACACAGTGAGGCAGCAGCGGGAATCGAACCCAGGAGGCCTGATGAGCCATCATTTGCTCCAACTAGATCTCTTCCCAAAGCCAGTAATAGAACTCAGGACTCCTGATTTCCAATCTCTTACTCTAACCCAGGGGTAGGCAACCTATGGCACGTGTGCCGAAGGCGGCACGTAAGCTGATTTTCAGTGGCACTCACACTGCCCAGGTCCTGGCCACCGGTCCGGGGGGCTCTGCATTTTAATGTAATTTTAAATGAAGCTTCTTAAACATTTTAAAAACCTTATTTACTTTACATACAATAATAGTTTAGTTATATATTATAGACTTATAGAAAGAGCCCTTCTAAAAACGTTAAAATGTATTACTGGCACGCGAAACCTTAAATTAGAGTAAATAAATGAAGACTTGGCACACCACTTCTGAAAGGTTGCCGACCCCTGCTCTAACCACTAGATCCACCTCCCTCTTCAGGCCCAGAGCATCCTCTGCTGATGGCAAGCCATGGTCCCACAAATCCAGCTTTAAGGTGAGGTTTTGGAGTCTGGCTCCCATCTGGCAAGTGGCAGTCCAGGTGCTGGATTTGCCCCTGATCAGCAGACCTGCTTAGACTGCAGAACTGGAGCGGGGAATCCAGTACTCCTGCAATATTTTGGCCCTTCCACGTGGTAAGGAAAGGGTCATCCTGAAAAGAGTCAGCTTGTGCTTGGTCCTACAGATCAGGGAAAGGTCTGGGGCCCCTGTTATTTTTTCCGCACTGGTTCCTCCATGGCTAAACCCAGCGCATGGCCCGGTCGTGTAGGGAAGGAAGTGGGGCTGGGCGGGAGCCAAGGTCTTCCTTTAAACGCAGATGTCTTTGGTCATTAGCAAACAGTCCCAAGACTCTTCCCCTTTCCTGGTGTGGTAGCGAGTGCAGCGTGGACTCTGAGAGAGGGGTCAGGCCAGGCTCACAGACCCTCTGCCACTGTGGATGCTCGACTCTGACTTCGGCTCGTGAGGAAGAGCCCAGATTCACCCCCGTGTCTAACCCAGCAGCACAGACCTGGTGGAGGAACATCTGCCGAGAGGTGGCAGGGGAAAGCAGCTGTGACTTCCCTTTCCGCTTGAGAGGCAGGTGGTCCAGTGGATGAGGCATCCGGCTGGGACTCAGCACAGGCTTCTATTCATAGCTGCAAACAGCTCCCTGCGTGACCTTGGGAACGTCCCCGCTCTCCTCTCTGAGCCGCATCTGTGAACCGGGGATAATGACACACCCCTTCGAGATCTATAGGTGATAAGAGTCGCTGCATCCAACTATCTTAGGCACTATCTGGCCTCCAGCACCACAGTGCCTGAGCACCTGGCTGTATTTACCCTGAGGTAGGGCTGTGTTACTCTCTCCATTTTACAGGTGGAGAACTGAGACGCAGAGAGTACCTCTACATTGCAAAAAGAACCCACCACCAGTGAAGCTCAGAGCCTTGGTCAGCTGACTCGGGCTGGCAGGACTCACACAACAGGGCTAAAACCAGCAGTGTAGACGTTCCTGCTCAGGCTCTGAAACCCGGGGAGGGGGTGGGTCTCAAAGTCCGAGCGGGAACGTCTACACGGCTCAAAATCAGTTGACCTGGGCTCTGGGACTTGCTGCTGTGGGGGTGGCTTGCAGAGAAGACGTAGCCCTAGAGAGATTACGGGTCGGGTTTTCAAGGGCAATCAGACACCTAAAGATGCAGATAGACACCTAGTGAGATTTTTTAAACCAGTGGGAGTTAGGCACATATGA